TAATTTATAAATATATAAATATACTTATATACTTGACATATAAATCGCTATGCATACAGTGCACACTAAATTTCCCCATTCAATTCCCATTTCTGTATTAATCCTCTAAACAGACGTGAAATCCTCCATGAGCTGCCCAACTTGGATGATGGCGTGGGCGTGCCCAATTGGCAGCTCGTCGCCTGCTTGGCTGTGGCCTGGCTCATCATTGGCGCCGTGCTCATACGTGGCATCAAGAGCAGCGGCAAGGCCGCCTACTTTCTGGGCGTGTTTCCGTATGTGGTGCTGCTGGTGCTGCTGTTGCGTGCCGTGACGCTGCCCGGCGCCTGGTCTGGCATTGTTTACTTCTTCAAGCCACAGTGGAAGGAGCTGCTCAATCCGCTGGTGTGGTATGCAGCTGTTACCCAGGTCTTCTTCTCGCTGGCCATTTGCTTTGGCACCGTGATTACGTACGCCTCCTATAACAATTTCCATCGCAATGTGTACAAGTAGGTGCCATGAATGGACTTGACTCAATACGGTCCAGCAGCTATACCAATCTCATCATCTCCCCATCTCCATTTCCATCTCCATTTGCAGCGACATTGTTATCATCACAACAATGGACTCGTGCTCCTCGATAATTGCCGGCTGCATTACGTTTGGCATTCTCGGCAATTTGGCCAAACAGACGGGCATCACGGACATTGGCAGCGTGGTGAAGGGCGGCACTGGCCTGGCCTTCATCTCGTATCCGGAGGCGATTGCCAAATTTGAGTATGTGCCACAGGTAAGCTATCGAGAGGAGGGTGCGCCGTGTGCGCTTTAAAGCACAACTACCTAAAGATGTTCGCGGTCCTTTTCTTTCTGATGCTATTCGTCCTAGGCATTGGCAGCACCGTCGGCATGGGCTCCTGCATCTTACGCGTCATCCGCGACCAATTTGGCAAACGTGCCGGCCCCAGCTGGGCCCTCGCTGGCGCTCTCGTTGCACTCGGCTTTGGCGTGAGCATCGTCTATGTGACGCCCGGCGGGCAGTTTATAGTCAATCTGATCGATTTCTATGGCGTCTCCTTTACCGCTCTCATACTTGCCATCGGCGAGCTGTTGGCCGTGGCCTGGTTCTACGGTACGTTTGTGTCAACTCTAGTATATCCTTTCACTACTCCACCTGCACCTGCACCTCCCACTCCTCCTTCGCCTTCTCTAACTGAATGTGCTTCTCTTTTCGGTTCAGGCGTGCGTCGCTTCTGCGCGGATATCAAATTCATGATGGGCATCGAAACGGGCTGGTATTGGCGCTTGTGCTGGGCTTACATTACGCCCGGCCTGATGGCCGCCGTGCTGCTCTACACGCTGCTCAACATGGAGGAATTGACATACAAAGGCGTGCCATATCCACGTATAGCAAACGGTAAGGCATTTCACAGTCCACTGACAGCACAAACTGGAACAGTTTGTAGCGTGCACTCGAGGAATTTCGAAATAATGCTATCCCAAATGCACTCATTAATTGGCTATTGATTTGCACTGCTGGAATGCCCTCATTATATGGCCTATCATTGAGATTAACATCTAAATATTTAATGCATGGCTAAAATTGATTGAGAATCGTAGTCAAGCATTGGGATATCGAGCCGAATATATCAATAATGAATTCATGCATTAATCTAATGGATAGCAAATAGTTTTCGCGCTTGATATATGCTTGCTAAAATATGTATACCATTCCGTAGTCCGTCAAATATAGTAAAATATCCCATTCATTGTCTGTCAAGCTAAAATACCTTGTCTATAGTCTATTAATATACTTAAATCTAAATATATCCATATCTAAATATTTTTAGTTATCAGTAGATTAAAATTGTATAGATATATATCAAACATACAAAAGGCTTATATGTAACTAGAAATAAATAAATAATTCCTTTAGATTTTTTTTTTACAAGCCCATATAAACAAACAAAATAATAACAAAGAGTCAAAAATATATCTGTATTTTTTGTAAGTTCATAAAAACAATTCAATATAAAAACAACAAAAATAAATAATAAAAAA